TTCTTACTCAAAATATCACTCTTCTCATCTCTTCCTCCCATATACAAGATTTAGTAATTTCTTCCAACATCTTAATTTTAGTTCTCTTCATTACTACTTTCCTTTTAGTAACATTTTTTCCTCCACTCTGATTTCTTCCATGTGTGTGTGTGCGAGAGCGCGCGTGCACGCGCACACACATATGTGCCTGTACTAAAGCTTGAACATAGGACCCGGCACAGTTCCATAGCTTATTCACTCAAGGCTGGTGCTCTACCACTTGAACCCCAGCTCCACTTCTAGCAATTTTTGGTGGTTAATTGGTTATCAGAATCTCATAGACTTTTCTGTCCTGGCTGGCTTTGAATCATGATCTCTGACGCCTGTGTAGCAAGAATTACCAGCATGAGCCACCAGAACCCAGCTTGTGCTAAGTATTTTAATTGTACTATTTCATTTATTCACCGCAGTCTTGTTATCTTTAGCTTCAGATGGACAAACTGCAGCTTAGGGATGAGAAATGAGTTTCCTAAAATATACAGCTTCTAAGGTTGGGTAGAGATCCCAGATGTATGCGGGTGTGGAGAAGATTCCCAGGCCTTGGTCTTCAGTTTGGCTGTGATAATGTCCATTGTAGACAACATGGAAGGAAAATAAAATAATTATTCATTTAAAATCAACCATACTTTCCAAATCTACAAAGCCCTAGATCTAACACTTTAACTATCTTTCTTCCTTTCCAGTTCTTTTTATGCATATTGAACAGGAAGTTTTTAATTTTTAACACTTACTATGATTTTAATTTTAAATAAGTTAACATCCTTAAAATATATAAAATCAGAAGTATTATTTAACAAAGAACCTGTTTTGATACTTTGAAAAATAGCATATTTTATATGTTATTTTAAGTTATCTCTTCAAAATAGAATAAATCATTTATTAACTATTATTTGACTTTTCAACAACCTTGCATCATGTTAGATAATATGTCATTGTTAAGTAAAAACAAAACATTGAGTTGTGATTCTCTGACTATATGCTAATGGAAAAAAAATATCCTTTATATTTTTATGCAGTTTCTTCAAGGAAACAGAATTATAAAGGGAAATTCTAAGAAAAGGCTACAATTAATTTTTAATCCAGAACACTTCTAGTCTATAAGAAAAACTGATACAGAAAAATATTTTAGACTTAATATCTAAAACAACAAAGACTGAGTGAACTGTCAACTATGCCCAAAGACTGAGGAGAAATTCTGTATACAAATGGATTTCTAATACAATGGCTCAGAACTATGACCAGCTGTGCTTTATGCTAGAAGATTGATTCCTTGGTCTTTAATGATATATTTGTATGTTTCAAAATGAATACAAGAAGTGACTTCCCTCACAAAGGTTATCTACTTGGTACAATGAGCAAATTAATTCTGAATAGCCATGACCCTCTAGCCAAATTCTATTTCAAGTAACTGGAAGGAAAGGAAGTTGAATGCCCTAGTTTGGTTTGGCATTCTCTCATTTCTTTTGAGAATTTAACTGTAGACCCTTCCTCCTCTTCTTCCTCATCCATTTAAAAAAAATTTCAAACAATTAACTCAGTACTTCTATATCGGCACAGATAGGATTTCAAAACTAGGTTGAAATCATGCCTCCATCCTTACTATTATCATAAATCTGTCATTGAAATTCTACTCTTCATAAAATGGGGATCAATGCTTTGAAATGAAGAAACTATACTAAAATAGCACATGCTAGGTGCTCTAAAAAATTTTTAATTTCCATCCTGTGCACTTTCTAGCAAATCTCTGAGAATACCTTTGACCCAGTTAGGAAGCAGCAATGACTTTCCTGTGTATTACAAACTACGCATATACTTATATATGGCTCTCTCCTTGCTCCTCTCCACACCCCTGGGCAAGCATCCTTTCTTGGGATACTGTAACTGACTAGGCCATGACCCCACCTAACACAGAACTGGGGCTCAAATGAAGGCCTCCTCACTTGCTAGTTCTGTGCTCTGTGCACTATACCAGTGCCTACCTCTTCCACAAATTCAGAAAGAGCTATCTGATTTGGGATGTGTTTTGCTTATGATAGTAATTGACAATTAATGATTCTATATTATGCAAAAAGAAAAAATAAGTAGAGTTTGAAGAGATATAGCCTCCAGACATTTCCTCTTAAATGTCAGCCACTCCCTTTTAGGAAAAGCAGTGTTTTAATATATTAGTATTCTAAGTGTAGGGTGGTAAACAGTATGTTTTTGCATTATCATGGGATGGCAAAATTACCCATTCTCAAAGGACCAGCTGCAGCAGGGTGACTGGCACCCATGTTGCCTACATTCTCACTATTTTAATTGGTAGTTTCTGGGATTTTATTTTTTTAGCCAGAGAGGAAATGTATGTGTAAATCTATTAAAGCCATACCATCTGCTAGTATGAAATAGCACCAGTGGCTCTTAGTGATATTCCATGTCAGGATTTCAAGGCTGCTAGTGTTCTCATTGAGGCAAGCAAGAAGCTGTATCTCAGATAGGCACAGAAAAAGTATAGAGCAATAAAGGACAAAATTTTTCCCCATGCTATTTACAAGATATATCTAATCTGATCCTGCAATTTGAATTGATATGTACAACATCCATAAAATCATCTATCAAATTAAAATTAAATACATATGGAGATACAAGGGGAAAGAGCCTGAATTTTTAAATAAGAAGATTTAAGATCAACTCCAGTCTCTACCCAAATTGCTGTCTTTATTTATTTATTTATTTATTTTTGCCAGTCCTGGGGCTTGAACTCTGGGCCTGGACACTGTGCCTGAGCTTATTTTGCTCAAGGCTAGTGTTCTATCACTTGAGCCATAGCACCACTTAGGCTTTTCAGTAGTTTATTGGAGATAAGAGTCTCACGGACTTTCCTGCCTGGGCTGGCTTCAAACTGTAATCCTCAGATCTCAGCCTCCCGAATAACTAGGATTACAGGAGTAAACCACTGGCACTCTGCTTGCTGTCAGTTTTAAAGGAAGATCTTAACTACTTACAAACATTCTCATTTCTATAATGTATAATCACTCGCAAATATTCTCATTTCTATAATGAGACTAATGAGGCTTGTTACATCAAATTACAGAGACTCCTTTAGTTGAAAATATTATACATTAATAATAAATATTGCACTTCTATCAATAACCATTTATTAGAATCTTATTACATCCCAAGGTCTATGGAAGGGCTCATGTGCATATCACTGAATTTTGTTGTTGCTGTTGCTTGATTTTGTTTTTGAGATGAGTTATCTTTATGTATCTCAGGCTGCTCTCCAACTAGCAATCCTCCTGCTCCAATCTCCTGGGTGCTGAGGTACTAAGCATGCAACATCATGCCTAGATTATGTTTTCTAATTTAGTCCTCTTCTCTGAAACCTTTCATACTAGATACAATGATTATATCCAACCTACAGATGAAAATGTGGAGGCTTAGAGAAGTTAAGAAAGTGACCAGTAGTTATAGACTTAGCAAACGGAGGACACAATAAGTGAACTTAGTCTTGCTCTTCATTCAACAAATACAAAGCTTTGGGTGCTGATGGCTTAAGCCTATAATCTAGCAATTCAGGAAGCCAAGATCTAAGGATCAAGCTTTAAAGCCAGTAAAGGCAGACATCCAAAAGATTCTTTTTTTTTTTTTCAAAAGATTCTTATCTCCAATTAACTAGCAAAATGCCAGAAGATGTGTATCCCAAGTGGTGGAGCACCAGACTTGAGCAAATAAAAGCTAAGCAAGAGCAAGAAGCCCTGAAGGCCATCCCCAGTAATTGCATACACACACAAAAATAAATCTAGCTAAGTAATAAATTCCTGAATAATATTGGACAATGGAAAGAGGAAGCAAGAAATGGAAGTTTCGTGGGCAAATTATCATGTTTACTTATTTTGGGCCACTGTGTAAAAAGACTGGATGCAAAGATGTCAAGAGATAATCAAGGTTGATGAGTCAGAGAGATGATAGTGTGTTTAATCAGGTGGTGGCAAGGATGCTAGAGAAGCCTGAATAGGGGAGAAACTAAACAGGTACAGTTGAATGTGTGATGACCATGGCAAAGGAGTCAGGAAAGAGCTTCTTCTCATTTTTGACACTCAGAAACATGGCTACTTGACATGAGGAAGACTGGAATGGTCAGATAGAGTGATGAAATCTTTCTTGTCTCAAACACCATGCCCTTAACCACTGTTCGTGTTATCCTTACTTATCAGCATTAAAACTAATTTGAAGTCTATGCCACATCACTTTAAACTTCCTGAAAAGATTTATGGAAACGTCAAATTCTTCCTTTCTTATGTGAAAATGAAAAAAATAAAAGTTGAACATAGGCCTTGCCCTAGTTCTTACTTTTCAAAGTAAGTGTCTGGGAAAAGATTGAGAATTTCTTCAAGCTTCATTACATCTAAACTTGAATATGTATAATATCATGACATGAATTTGAGAGCAAGAGACATTTGAAGATAATTTACCAGAAAGCTAACAGGTTTGTGTTTAGATGAGTGAGTCACATATTTTTTTCTTCTTTCTACATTTTTATATTTTTTTCAAATGTTCTGCAATAATTGAATAGTACCATTGTACTAATAAATTAAGAATTTGGAAACTTAATTTATAAATTACTATCCACATAGTCCATAGTCATAAGTACTGAGAAACCTTCAAATCATAATACTGATTCAAATTATTACAATCAGTCAAAATAATGTTATAACTGACTAATATTTTAAATTAAATGCCTTACTAGCCATGCCATCCATAATACACTCCCAGTAAAAGGGTTGAATTTCAACATAGAAACTGATCAATATATGGACAATTTGTGGAAGATCAGGAGGTTGAGAAAGTTAGAGGTTTGCTTGATTTCTTGCATTTTAAGGATTTTTTTCCAAGTAAGACCACTTGAAAAGTATTCCTTACTGCCAGGCATATTAACCTCTTAACTTCTCCTGAACCGTCTCTCCTCTCCTTTCTTGCAGGGTCAATGATTGTATCCTGCGGGTGAATGAGGTCGATGTGTCTGAGGTTTCCCACAGTAAAGCGGTGGAGGCCCTCAAGGAAGCAGGCTCCATTGTCCGGCTGTATGTGCGTAGAAGACGGCCCATTTTGGAGACAGTTGTGGAAATCAAGCTCTTCAAAGGACCTAAAGGTAATAGAAATATGGCTGACCATGTGATTGAAGTGTATGTTCTAATCCACACACACATATATATACGTACATATACATATATGTACATATATATATATTTATTTATGCTGGCCCTAGGGCTTGAACTCTGGACCTGGGTGCTGTCTCTGGGCTCCTTTTGCTCAAGGCTAGCACTCTACTGCTTGAGACACAGCCTCACTTCCAGCTTTTGTCTGTGATTTATTGGAGATAAAAGTCTCATGGACTTTCTTCTCAGACTGGATGGATCACAGGTGTGAGTCATAGTCACCTGGCTTTCTAGTTCACTTTTGATGTACCATTTTTAAAAAGAAATTTTTCTGACATCTACCGCTTTCCAAGAGGAAGTCTACAATAGTGATTTTTACAGAAACCAAAACTCTAAATATGAGTTCAGATAAGGAAAGCATAGATTTTTGTAAAAAGTCTTTGTAAATGGTAATACCAACTATCACTTAACCCTATTATTTTTTTCACTTACAACTTGGCTATCCTAGTAAAAAGTCTGATTCAGCTATGTACTAATAACTAGTCACTTGCTTAGATCATTCCTCTCAGTATTGAATGAGGACCAAACTGGCAGGATTATTGCAAAGGTTTTGTGAGGATTAAAATTTGAATGAGTAGGGCACTGGTGGCTCATGCATGTAGTCCTCACTACAAAGGAAGGTAAGATAGGAGGATAAGGTTCGAAACCAGCCTATGCAGAAGTCTATGAGACTCGTACCTCAATTTGACCAGCAAAACGCTTCACCTGTCTTTGCCTTAATTTTCTTGTTCAGAAAATACAAGTCAAGGTTTGTAGGTTCTTAGAGATGCTGTGAAGGTTAGATGAATGTATTCATATGAAGTATTTAGTATAAACTCTGGTACAATTGAATGCCCAACAAATATTAGCTGTGTTTATGTGTTATTTGTAGTGCTAATATACGTGCTTAGTTTTTGTAACAATGTAGTGCAAAATCTCTCCTGTCTTAAATTGCGATGGATGAAATTCACTGAATTGAATATCAAACAAGGCATAAGCGAACGTTCTCATACTACTATCTTCAGTGCATGAGAGAAAGACTCTCTATCCAACTCATTTAGTAAAATCGTATTAGCAGAGGTGATTTTTAAAAACCAAACAAACCTAGCTTATACACTATTTCTTTTAAAAATGCATACTATAGATAAACAACATGTAGCTATTTGTACAGTTCAATCAGCAGCAATTATTCAGCACACCCCTAGGCAAATCCTAATTTAAGCACTCAGGAACATATTACCATCCATTTGTTGGCTTCCTGCTCTCTGTGTCACTGAATGACCCCCAGCTGCTCAGCAGAGCACTTAAAGGCTGTAGGGAATTGATGGCCAAAGGCCCTCATTGTTTTTCAGGAACACCTCCTTTGGATCTTTCTGTTGGCAATCAGGCCTCCTCCAGGTGGCTTTCTTCCGTGGGCACTGGAAGTACCTGGAGTGAGGGGCTGGATTTTCCTTGTAACACGGAACGGGAGATGAACAGTGAGCATTCATCAACTAGGGTATACACAAGCAACAAAGAAAGCACATGGTGTATGGAAGATGGGGTAATACCCAGGTGTGGTCTGCCTAGCCAGAAAGAGGTAGCAAATGCTTGGAAATAACTTTCTGTTGTGAAAGTTGGCTGTGACCAAATCTCCACGGGGCTGGCAGGGGTTCTGCTGAGTCAGCCTTGCATTCCTTCCTGTCCTTATCCAGAGGTCACACATGGGGATTTATTTCTCTATAAAGAGACTATTGATTTACAAGGAAAGAAAGTGTTCTAGTCATTATTTGAATTCCTAATCCCTCTCCCACTGCTTTAAATCCGCAAAATTAAATGGCTTCTACACTAAATCTGATGATATCTTGGGCTTTCTTAACTTCTCTTAGCACCTTGTAAATTGTTATGTTTGAATTGCAGTCTATATAAAAAGAATTTCTGCTAATGCTTAACTTACATCATAGAAACCCTCGTACTGTGGAGAAGGACAATGACTCCGATATGATCTCTTTGCTCACAAAGCCCTAACGAGAAAGATAGATGTGAAGTCAACTAATTTTCAAATAGGACAAAATGAAAGTAGTTCTGTGATGGAGTCTGAACGATGACCTATATGCATCACTCATCTTAACATCATTCCTCTTAGAGACAAGATGCTCCAGAGAATTAAAAATATAATGAATACACTGGTCCTTTGATCTATGGGTATTGTAGAGTCAGCATCAACAATCCAGTCTAATGAGCTAACTAAAGTCAATTATAAACATTTAATGCTGAACTAGTTGAATGTATACTAATTTAATCCTCCAGCAATTCAGTAAATTTTTATTAAAAACTTACTGTATACTTGTATAGAGCCAGACAATGGAGATTCACAAAGGAAAGCTAGTTCTGGCTCTCAAAGAGATTAGATGGTTTTATGGGTCATTATATAATCTCTCTCTGTGAATCTCTCACAGAGAGAGATTATATAAGATTATATAATCTTAAACCTGTAATATAAACTGGGGAAAGTGATGTGCATTATCAGAAAAGATTGTTAAGAGAGAACCAATTACATAACAGGTCAAAGGAGATTTCTGGAAGCAACTACCACTTAAACTAAACCTTGAACTATAAATTAAAATAGGAGTTTCTTCAGGTGAAGTCCACAACAGAATTCTGGGTTGATAAGAAGTATGCAAGTATGAAGGCTTCCTTCTAATAGTGAAATGATCAGACAATGTATGACCTGAAATTATATACCCTAATTAGGCAAAGGCCAGATGCCTAGCTTTGTTGGCTGTATTTAAGGATTCATAACTATTTTCAAATGCTAAAATTTTAACCATGGGAGGGATATGGTTGCCATTGTCATTTTAAATCATTCAATCCATTCCACATATAGAATGGATTGAATGAAATAAGAATGAAAGATCAGGGATAGGCTAAGGGTTACTTGGAGCAGTCAAAATGGAGAATGGATGTGAACTGTGTGTTTGAAATATTTGATGTATTTACTGAACAAGATAAACTATGTGTCAAGGACACAGCTCTGTCTTCTACTTGGGGTGCCATCTGTGAATGGAATGTGATAAAGGAACCTCTGTGGAGAGATGATTAAGAATCTACATTTGGACATGTTGGAAGTCCATGGCATATCTGAAAAGATCTCAAAGAAATGTATCACATCCTTCTATATTTTCTGAAATATCTAGATTTGGGGAAATAACCCAATAATTAGCTCTTTTTTTATGTGCTGGTCCTAGAGATTTCACTTTGGGCCTGGGCATTATAACTGAGCTCTTTTTGCTCAAGGACAGCACTTTGCCACTGAAGTGGACTGACTTCTTGGACAAAGTCACAGTATCTTAAAAAGCTGGAGTTTATTGGATTGACTGGCCGGGGCCAACTCAACTCGGGAGTGAGCAGACCTGAACTCAAATAGCTTAGGATTTACAAAGGCAAAAAATGCATTCTTTTAGAGCAAGCAAGCTAGCTAGCATACAGAAGAAGAACTTAGCCATTATTTTGCAAGCGCGTAAATCACAAACATTCCTGAAACAATCAAAACCATAAATACTCCTGTAACAATTTCTTGACCTGAAGCAACAAGCAGTTCCTGATTTCAGGGCCAGGTGTTTTGCTTTTTCAAAACTAGTAATTACAGTAGAAGGGGCAGCCATGGCAAATGGGCCAGTTACAGTAGAAGGGGCAGCCAGGGGGTAAATAGGCCTTGTCCTTTCCTCAGAACTAGTTGTTCCAGTTCAATCCTGCCTTGCAAGTTTAGCCCTATTCTTAAAAATCAATAATTTTGTTCTGTTTCTGATTTCACATTTTATATTCTTTTTTTGGGGGGGGGTCATCACACCACTTGTGCCATACCTCCATTTCCAGCTATTTTCTTCCCTTGGTGGTTAATTGGAGAAAAGAGCCTCATGCTTCAAAACATGATCCTTGAATCTCAACCTCCTGAGTAGCTAGGGTTGCAGACGTGAATAACTGGCACCCAGCTCCAGTGATTCACTTTTCCACTTCCTGTCAATAATTGTTAGTTTCAGAATTATGAATATGACCACTTTGTAGTCATATAGCCTACTTTGACTATTTGAAACCCATTATAAGCATTGATTTTTAAGCATCCCTAATACTCTGTTTTTAATTGGGGGTTGTTTCTGGGGTACTTTGGAGGGGGTGTTCTTTGATTTGAAAGTTTTTTTGCACAGAAGTTAGTATCTTTATACCAGTGACTTGTGGAAGAATTATAGTTATTACATTTTTCCAACTCCATATCTTGCATTTATTCTATGTGCTACACAAATTGCTCACTCTGAGGCACCCTTTGATATGCATGTAATGCTAACCTTCCCAGTTCTCCAATACTTAGACTATCTGGTTGATTTGGAGCTGTATACTTCAGTTATGAATAGTTAGATACAAGGCAATATGATTTAGACTATCTTAACAATACAATACAGTTTCCTAATCTCATGGTCAGAGATGGGTTCACTGGAAGAAACTGGAGTGTCAAGTCATTTGAAGGGAAGACAGATATCTATCCATAAGAAAGCAGTATTTTATTCTTGCCAACCAACTGAAAATCAGGGGACTTCAAGGCAATTTGATACCCAGATCATAGGGTTCTTTTCAGGATAAGAATCATGAATTCTTAATAAATGTTTATAACATTTTAATTGTATTATAATTCATTGAAATTGAATAAGATAAAGCAGCAATGAACTCATCCTAGTCCTTCAAAAGTGTCTCCCCTGATATTTTGTATAATCAATTTCCTTCGCTCCTAGTATTAATACTTTTGAATTAATTATTCAGTAAAAGTTTTTAATATTCAGAAATTTCAGATGGAACCAGTGTATGTTTTGCTTCTGCATGCCTTTATATACAAGATTAGCATAAGCACACACCACACTATGTATTTCATATTAGTTTTATATGTGTAGACTATACATAATATAGCAAACATGTATTTATTTGT